AGATATATAAATGAAGGCCCAAGCATAAGGCATTGTGCATGTTACTAGTTGACTACAGAAATGGCATTTTTTTAGCAATAAAGAATAAAATTGAGCACATGGTACTGAATATAAGAATACATGCTTTAACACTGTTAATATTGTTCAATTTACACGCCAATTCAAAATAAGCTAGGATTCAGTACCACATTTCTACTGCTGTTAACGAAGATGAAGCCATTGCTATCACTTTTCAAAATCTCCTGTCCTTCTAAATTTCCAAAACCACAGCCTCCTCTAGAAGGTTCATTCTAACAACCAGGCCACAAATATGCACAAGCTTTCATTAACATGTAGGAATGATTAACAAACAGATTGATTACTCTGCATTTCGTCAAAGCCTGGGTTCTATGAATTCTTCTATTATATAGTAAAGAGTCAGTTGCCAGACTCAACAGAATACTTCACTTAACCAGACTTAGTGAAAAAATATAAAACCACGATCATTCTATAAATCTTGTAATGGATCCTTCAATTATTAGCAAATTACAATAATAAGATCAAGTCGCACCATAACGTCATTTGGGCATATGATGGGAGCAAAATAACCACCAATTGCGAAAGAAATCATATAATAGTCTAGAAACAAATAAATGTCAAGAGATGCACAAAAAACTTATTCCAATTGAATTACTCGATTGGAAACAACACTATATCTGCAAACCATTAATAAATCAAACCGCCAATAAGTACTGACAATAACCCTTTACCTCATATGTCATATTCCTTCTAGCTGGTGCCCATTCTTCAGCAGTTCTTTTCTTAATAAGAACCTGATCAACCGTAGGTGGCAACCTAATATCAAATCCTGCCTCTGCCTCTGAAGGTTGCGTATTCATCACAAATCCCTACACACAAACAAACCTCCTGATCATCAACACCATTGAAAATTCCACATTAGCATTAATTACTGTATAAAACACAAAAACCTCACACTTGGGGAGGGCATCCCAGCCTTTAGATAAACAGGATTAACAGAAACAACTTCAGAGTTCATAGCTTCCCCTGCTTTAACAACATCAATCTGGCTCTCCTTAAACTTGGTAATAACTTCCACACTCTTCATCAGATTTTCCATTGTCCCATTATCATACATTCTGGAACCATGCCCTGGAGCTCCAATAGCCTTCATCATAAGTCCCCAAAGTGACCTATCAGCACAAAACACTCCGAACTCATCATTGCTAGAAGCCTGCCCTTCGTCCAAAACGAACCCAACTTTCAAATCCAAAAACCCTATCGACTTATATATAGAAGTTGGGCATTTCTTATCAGCTTAAACTTCTGATATTTGAGCATTTCATTTATTGATTGAGACATTATTCCTCTTTTAAAAGTGATTGATTCCTTTAATTTATAGAAGGGTGTTATACCAAAGCCCATTACAATTTTTTTTTTCTAAGTTATAATTAAAACAATTAGGTATTGCATTTATTTATAATTAATTATTGCATTGAATAATCAATTAATAAATTAAATTTTAATTAAATAATCAAACCTACAATAAAACTTAAATATAAAATCTTAAAATTTTAGAGTCATTTCTTTGCCACTAAACCAAAACCCTTTACAATTGTTTTCTATATTTAATTTTGGGTGACTTTTGTATTAGTCATAGCACATTAAATCCGGGCATTAGTTCATATTTCATCATGATCCAACCTTTTTTCTTTTTATTGGCCAAAAAAATTTTTCTTTTTTATAATAGAAAATTTAAGGAAAATTAAGGAAAATATTTAATAATAATAATAATAATACTTTGTTTATTTATTTATAATCATAGTAGATTCTTAAAGCATCTCAATATGAGATTGAAACATTACAAATTATTCTAGTTAAAACTTGAAATCTTCGTCAAGCTTAATATAAAGCACACATATCACAAGATCACATCAGACGTTGAAATTCTAAAGGTGACTTTCACCATGTAGCATTTAGCTCTCACAGGATTTTTATAGGTGGCTTCCATGACATAACATTTAGCTTATTCCCGTCAAATCCAACACAAAGCACATACAAATCACACCAGACGTTGAAATTTTAAAGGTAACTCCCATCATGTAGCAATTAGTTTTTGTTCAATTAGTAATTACTCTGATATCATTTGTGGAGATTCACACCTAATCTACGATGTATTATCCGTTTTGACCCAAATATCTTATGATTTTATCTCATAAAAAGCACCTTATAAATTTGGGTTTAAGTCTCTACATATATATCATAACAAATCCTCAAAATATCTCAATTTAGGATTGGAGCGTTACACAAAAAAAAAAAGGCCTTAAAATCTTAAGATTTTAAGTTTAAATCTTATTGTACGTGTGTTTGATTATTTAGTTAAATTATAATTTATTAGTTGATTATTTAGTAATTAATTAATTATTCAATAATATAATAGTTGATTATATGAATGTAATTAAAAAAAAGATTCATGTAATTTAAAATTAAAAAAATAATTACGGAACAATTTGGATTTTTTTTATTTGATTCATATGTATTTATATTAACTAATAGATACAAATTTAGATTCAATGATACTAAATATTAAATATATTTACTCACAATTAATTAGATTCATAAATATAAAAAATTCATAAATAATTAAATTTATAAATAATTAGATTTATTTAACTTAAAATAAAAATAATTTATAATTTATAATATAAAAAAATTGTTCATGACTATCATAGGAACAAATGAACCTTCCATAAATATTTTAATATAGATTATATAAAGAATTAATAATTAAAATTAGAAGCTTTTAACTTTATTAGGACTTTCAACCAAAAGAAAAAAGGGGTAATTAGAAAATGATATTCCATAAAAAATTATTATTTAATATTATAATAAAAAATTAATTATTTTTATAATCTCAATGTACAATGTTGTAAAATAATTATATATACTAGAAATATGCCCTCGCTTTGCTGTGAGTTTAATTTTTTTATTATTTGTAAATAATAATGTTTATAAAGGCTAAAATTAAAAAAAAAAAAAAACCAAAGAAAAAAACATAATGTCTATAATGAAAATCATAAAAATAAATGGGCAAACGTTGTAAACCAAAAAAATAAAGACATTTAGATCACATATAGGCATGATCTAAAAATGTTCACAATCAACTAAAATACAAACTATAAAATGGCTATGACTTGAAGTAAAGAATCCATAACACCTAAAACCTACTTTAAGAAATTGCTTATAAAGCTAAGGTTAACCTTTTTGTATACAATACTATAAGATTAGGTACTAGTCAAAATCCAAATATGCACTTGCACTATGGAGCATGCCAAAACAAAGAAGCGAGTTGAGAAAAATACTACAATTGTAGCCTTATTTGCCTTGAAAAGTAGTAATTTTTTATTTCTCATTTTAGATTATTATTTTATATTAGTATTTGTACATTAGTGAATGATTGTTGTATAAATTTGTACAATGCCAAATTTGTCATTGACAGATAAAGATAGCCATCTCAAGCTTTGAGTAAAAATATGACAGCAAACAATTAAGAAGGATTATAACCAAGCAAAAAGAAAAGCGGTTAGAGGTAACAGGACATTAGCTCTAAATCTTCTTCCACCTCTAATAACTTTTTACTTATCAACAGTTGAAACTCATGGATTTCTTAATGGATTCTACCTCAAATGTTTCAAAAAAAAAAATAGTTTTGTATCTTTTCTTTTTCCACTTTCACCTAGAATATCTTAAAATATCTTATCACAAATATCATCTAGAGATAGTCCATCTAATTATTCATTTGATAGACCTATTCCAATACAAATTATATGTGAATCAAAAGTGGAACTTCTTTGTTAATAGCAAGAAGTCAAAAATTAAAAGGCTTAAAGCAACAAAAAAAGTAAAATCTTAAATCAACAATTAAGCATCATTAAAAATAATGATATAACAATCACAACTTCAAGAATAAAAATAATTATCAATAGATTTTAATAATGGTCAACATAGAATCTAGCCCAATAGTAACATTAACAAATATGTTCAATAATAATCAACACAAAATCCAATTTAGTGCCAATAATAATCAAGAAAGAGCTAAGCATGTTCTAATAAGTTAAAGAATAAATTTATGAAAAGAAAGATAAGAGTGATAAATACCTAAATTCTCTATTCAAGCTATTGTCGATAGTAGTTCAACTTTCCCTTTACCATATCTTTTTGAAGTATTTCTTAACTTTTTCTAAAATTACAATTGGCATTTGTCTGTTAATAGATTTAACTACAATTACACAGTATGGTGTAGTGTCGAATTTATTGACAAAATCAGTACATGAAACACTAATTAAAAAAATTGGGAGTTATGAAAGCAAGCAACCATATCTTGATTCATTTTCAAGTAAAGTAACATTAACAGATTTATTCAATATTAAGAGTAGTTGCTTATCTACAGCAATTACAATAAGAATTTAATATCATTTCTTTAACTTAACATTACTAATCTAAATATTTGAATTTCATACTTTTAGAATCATCAACATAATATTTATAAAATTCATATAATTTTAAATCAAATTCTTTTACTTACAAATTTTAAATTACATAAGAAACATGGTCTAGGATTATGTTAGCACTTATTGTAGACACCTTATTTTGTTTTAAATTTTTTTTTGGAATTGAAAACAGGCTTCAATTGTAAATTGAGCCCAATTGAAAAAAAATATTTTTAACTTAATTTTTAGTTTAATTTTACTTTTGTCTTTAAAAAAAAAGGGTCAAAAAGAAGAGAAAAAGTTTTAATAAAATATGGTGAAAATGAAATTGAAAGATTTTTTAGATTTAATTTCAAAATCAATTCACATTAAAATAATGTTGAGAGATTTTTGAAATTTAATTTTAAAATCAATTCATATTAAAATTATATAAAATAAAATCATAAATTTTAAAAGAATTGATTTAGTATAAATTTATATATAAATTTGTGATCAAAGGAGGGCAAACCCCACGCCCAACCCTAACTTGAAAGACTCCGAGAATCCCAAAAATGTGTACAATATTGTGCAAGCCATACGACGCGCAGTTCTCCTTCATGTACAGAGTCATGGCAACGCTGGATCGGGCTCAGAAAGAAAGCCGTTGTCACGCCTTGCTCGAGTCGCCCACCGGTACTGGCAAATCACTCTCGCTTCTCTGCTCCTCTCTAGCTTGGCAACAAAATTATAAGCTCAAGAATCTACAAGGCAATCTGCCCTACTCCGCACCTGCACCGGAGGCCATCACCGATCCTCTCGGTCGCGGCGGTGGTTTTATCCCTGAAATGCAACCTTTAAGCATTCCACCATCAGAGAGCTCACAGCCACCTCAGCAAGCAGCAAATAGCAAGAAAAAGAAGAAAAAGTTGGCTCCTGTCATATATTATGCTTCGAGGACACATTCACAAATTTCTCAAGTGATTCGTGAATACAGGAAAACTTCTTATCGAGTGCCAATGGCAGTATTGGCTTCAAGGAGACATTATTGCACAAATCCCCATGTCCTTCAAAAGGAGAATATTGATGAAGAATGCAAGCTTCTTTTGAGGAACCGAAAGGAAGAATGCTTTGAATATAAAAGTATGCATAAAGTCAAATACCATTCCTCACTTGGGAAAGGAGGCTGTCACGAGGTCCATGATATTGAAGACCTTGTCAAAGTTGGACAAGTTGTTGAAGGATGTGCATTTTATGCTACACGTACATGGCAGATGATGCACAATTGGTTTTTTGCCTGTATTCCTACATCATCAATCCTGTTATTCAGGGATGTGGATATCAAAGGAGCCATTCTAATTCTTGATAAAGCTCAAACCTTGAAACTTTTATGGGTTTAGAACAAACTTTTCTTATGAAGTTTAAAGTTTTTGCTTGAACTCGACGATTTGTATAAAAATTCATACTTCAAGCTTGACCTAATCGCAAGTTTTTTGTCTTTCATTCTATTTTTTTGTTTTGATTTTATTCTATTTGACTTTCATTTTATTTTTATATTTTATTTTTTTACTTATTATTATTTTCATATTTAATTATTATTTTACTCATTACTTTAAATTGAAAATTTTATTATTTATTTTTTAAAATATATTTATGAATTTTATTTTATTTTATTTATTTAAAATAATAACAAAAAAATATTTTCAAAATAAATTCATGAATCTTATCAAACTATTAAAGGATTTTTCATGAATTTAAATTTTATAGATTCTACCAAACTATTGAAAATTTTCATAAATATATTTTCAAAAAAAAATAATTTTTAATAAAATTTGTATTTTATCCTACTAAATTATTTGAGGATTGTATTTTAAGTTAAATTTTATCAAACTATTAAAGGATTTAATGAATTTGCTTAAAAATAAATTCTATAAATATTTCGCAATAAAACCTTACCAAATTATTGAGAGATCTACATTAAAATAAATTTTATCAAACTAATAGAGGACTTTACTAATTATTTTATTAGGTAAAATACACTAATAAATTCGACGACAAAGCCTCTTCTGGGTGGAACACTAGTCTCCATGAATACTCATGAGGTAAGAGAATTATCTTAAATTGTTACTAAACTATTGGAGTAATTTGATGATTAATTTTTAACATTAAATACTTTGGTAAAATATAACCATATTTAAGACTTAGATAATTTGAAATCAAATTAATACCATCATTTGGATGAGTGTTGTGAGGGTGCTATAATTTTTTTTACGTATAACCGTACTCCCAAATCTAAAATCTGATTTTGTGGATTAGAATTTACTATTTAAAGATATTTAAGTCAAACTTGCGACTCCTCTTTAAATAGGACAGATTCGATCAAGTGGCCAATTATACTTAAACAAAAAATATTACTGGTGACTTTTAAAAATCATGTCTAGCGGTAAGTCCATGAATCTATACATTATGTCACTTATTTAAAATTTAAATAATCATACTTATATAAAAAAGTAGGATAATCGTCACCCTTGGTGTTTAAAATTTCAAATAATCATCACATTTTACATATTTAAAAGAATATCAATACATTATTGGTATTTGAAAGTGACTTTTGGAATGCATCGGTGTTTAAAAGCCACTTTTGGAATATTTAAATTTTAGGATTATGCTTAAACTTATTTAAAATACAAATATTTCTACTTACATCTTAACATATTGATATTTTAGAGTCACTTTTGGAATACCAATACATTTTAAATAAAAACACAGCCTAGATTATATATTATATAAGTCAAACTATATCCTAAGATATAAATAATAAAATACAGTGATCGAACCTTAAAATTGTTTCAAGATTAAGCTTTCACTAAATTAAGTGTTCAACAAAATAGTTAAACACAATCAACATGTTTATTTAAGGACTGCACTTTATTATCGACAAAGACTGTATTCTTCAAATAACTTAGTCTGTAGACTTGAAGTGATTGCACTAATTAGTTTAAAGTGGGAAGAAAATGCAATCATTGTTGCCAATAATATATATATATATATATATATAAGGTTTTAATTTGCATAACTATGATACTTGAGACACAAAAGGAATAATAATAATCAACTCTGCTCCAAAAAGCATATATATATATATTGAATTAATTGACTATTCCTAGAACCAATTCATTTACTATCCATTAAACTGACCCAATTTCATTTAAACTCTTATAAATCAACTTGCCAACAAAGTTATATGAAAATATGTTCTTAGTCCAAAGTCCGTAGATCTTAAACATTAATGTAAAGTTATTTTTGCTCAAATTTTTATAGAGCAATGTATGGAATATTTAATATCTAAAATATTTACTAAATATTGATGTTTGTGTAAGTATAGTTTTATCTCATGAAGAGAAGTTTGGTGAGTCAAGAGCAGCTAAAAATCAACTATGATTTCCTTTAGTATGATATAAAATTCACTAATTTGAAAAATGAAAGCAAAAATATGTGCAATATATGTTATTTTTCTAATTTGACCATTGATTCAAAGATCTAAACTTATTTTTTTTATTATCTTTTAGTTTCATCTTTATTCATTAGAGATTAAGCTTTTTAAGGTACCAATCTTTTTTATTGACTCATGTTTTTTAAAATATTAAAAACAAAGATAAGTAACTAAACTAAATTGACTATAGATCACTGGAAAAGCTAAAAAAAATTTAGATACATATAAAAAAATTTATCTTGATCATCAATTTATAATTGAAAACAAAGATGTAAAACCTAAAATCCATACTTTCCACTGAAATTTTATGAACATTTACCTTTATTTAAAAAAAATAGAAAATGAACAAGACCAAGATACTTTAATAGAGAGAGAAAGGAAGAAAGAAGCACATAACAACTTACATTCATTACTTTCAAAACTGTATGAAGTTCAATACCTATGATTTTATTAACAATAACAGACTTTAATTTGACACTCAAAATGACAAAAAAGAAAAAAGCTTTTTGAAGAATCTATTTATGTTTTTACCTTCTTGCTAATGGCATCCTAGACCATGTATAACTGCATTAGTATTGATGGCAAACACAACATCAGAAGTTTTAACCTTAGTGTTAAAGTATTGAATGTAGTCATTCAAAGCTATTTTAAGATACTTGATCCTTATCTTTGTTGTTTGGCTCTCGCAGTCAACATCAAACATGATATTTCTTCAACTATTTTTAAGTTTTCTTTCAATTATTGCAACAACAAAAAACCCCAAAACCTTGAAGTAAAAAGCAAAAGGAAAAACCATAATGATGGTCGAATTACATCATCCAATCCCATTCCAAACTAAAAAGTATACCATAAATCAAAAGGGTAAAATATTTTATTACTTTTTAATGAAAATTCTTTAGCTTAGCAAAAAAAAAAAAAAAAGAAAATCTGGTTTAAAATGTATTAGTAATTTACTCGAATTGTTTTAAAGCATTGCTTAAACTTAACTACATTTTCTATAAACTTAGCAAGCAAATCTTGCATCTGCAAACCCAAATAAAATTTCTCTAAAAAAAAAATCATTAATAAAATGAATAATACAAAAAAAAATAAAGAGATTAAAATATTAAAGTTAAAAAATAATCTATTTCTCTCTCGGTTTTCTCTATTTTCTTAATAATCAAACAAAATTTACCTTATTAAATAGACCTACTAGTTGTACACATGTACATACCGATAATAATATTTACAAATAGCTGAAAACATTTATAACCAAATAGAATTCCTACATGCAATACATCAAAAATCATATTCAACAAATTTCTACTATGGATTTTTTTTCTCTTTTTGCACCATGAAAGCATTAAAATTTAAGCAATAAAAAGCTGTTGCAGATTTTCATACAAACTGGTTAAGCTAAAAAAAAAATTAATTACTGTCTGTGTAGATACCCATTTTGTCCAAACCCATTCTGGTCAAAGCCCAGTTAGACGCCCGTTTTGATCTCGTTTGGTTTAGTTGGACCCATTCTAGTCCAAGCCCAATTGGATCCATTCTGATCCCGATCCAACTGGGTCCGTTCTGGTCCAGGCCTAATTGGACCCATTTTGGGTCGAACTCAGTTAGGCCCATTTTGGTTAGACTCGTTCTGACCCATTTAAGTCCAATTAGATTTATTATATATTATTATTATTATTATTATTATTATTATTATTATTATTATTATTATTATTATTATCTTTACTTCTTTTTTACTTTATTTTTCTATTCCATTATTATTATTATTATTATTATATTTTCATTTCTTTTTTCTTTCTTCTTTTTTTCCTTTTTTCTTTTTCTATTCTGATTCACACATGATAAAATCAAAATCAGAATCCTGCTGCGTCAAACTTTCAATGCCAAATCATATAAGTAGGAGACTGACTGAAATTTTGGACTCGAAAATCTCACTGGACAAAATGCAATCTCAGGATCCAAGCCTGGGATTGATTCTATCTGTTCCTAAAATTATGCCTAGGACCGTGTATAAATCGAACTGATTCTAACATTGAGACACAAAGAAACAAAGAGAAAGCGGAGAGAAAATTGCTAGAAAAGTTTTGGGAAAATTCTGGCAGAAGGGGTTTTTGGGATTCGAAAATTGAAACTTTGGTTTTGATTGGAGTTATGGAGGGATTTTGGGCTTCTAGAAGTGATTTTAAAGTAGTAAAAGGTTCTGGGGAGGTTTAGGACAACTAGGAATTTTTTTGAATTTTTCAAGATTTTTTTTTGGAATTTTTTAGGTTTTTTTGGGTTTAGGATAAATTTTTCGACGAAGGATGAATTTTCTTATTGAATTTTTTTGCTAGGTTTGAATTTTTCGACAAGATTCCGATGAGATTTCCAGAATTCGATAGGCTTTTCCAAAAACTAGTGGGTTTTTTAGTTTTCATTGAATTTTTTGGTGAAGTTTTTAGAAATCGATAGGATTTTCAGTTTTCGATGAAACTTTTCGGTGGGTTTTTAGAGAGAGGTCAAAGGATTTTGAAGGGTAGAGAGAGAAAAGGTTCTGAGGTTTTTGAAGAAAAAATACTGAAAAGGCCTTTTTATACCACTCTAGAACAACGCCGTTTTACTAAGCTAGGATCCGTACGCTGACTCATGTCTCGACCCGACCCAGTCGCAAGGCTTTTTCTTTTTATTTTTTTATTTTTATTTTAATTTGTTTATTTTGACCCATATTTTATTTCTTTTTTTTCAAACAAAGAGAAAAACAAAAAAATAAAAAAATATTTTATCTTTTCTTAAGAAAAATGAAACTTCTTCAAAAAAAAAATAAAAAAACAAAAAAAGGAAAATATAAAATTTACTATCTAGTATATTATGAAAATGAGCAAGGCTTGGATAATTCCAAATCAAACTAGTACCATTCTTCAGATGGGTGCTATGGGGGTGCTACAACCTTTCATAT